TCCAGCAATCCAACCATCAGTCGTACCACAAAGCAATGTGTTACTTTTTTAAGAATCCAACAGGTCGTTTTGTGGTACACCCACCAAAACTTGCGGCCTCACAACCTGAGAGCATACCTAGAAAGCTGGGATCTGAGGGAAGTTGCTCACCTCTTGGGGCTCCAGCCAGGTCACCAGGGCATCCTTCCAGGAATGGGCCGGGTTCATGCACGTCAAGACGCTCTGCGGCTTCTCCACCTTGGCGCTCCCGGGGGTCCGCCACTCGCGATCCTTCGTGTAGACGTTGAGATCAATGAGAGCGGCGATCGCGGGGTGCCACAGGTGCAGCCTCTTCTTGAGGCGCGTCGCAAAGTGGAGAGCCCCCTCGGTGTTGGAGCCGAAGACGAGCTGGCGCGGGGCCAGCTGGTTGATGGTGAGGTGGAGGCTGAACTTGGTCTGGCCGGAGCTCTCGATCCACACAAAGCTGCTTTTCTCCAGCTCATGGCCGTAGCAATCCGAGAAGACTGTGCCGGCCCACTCCTCGATCACTCTCATGACCTCCTCTCGTGTGTACCTCTCCCCCTCCTCGTGTCCAGCTTCCGCCCCCGCCTCCGTCCCCTGCGCCGGCCTAGGTTTGAGGGGGAGTCCGTCTTTACCGTCAAGGTCAAGGTAGGGCTTGCAGGGCTTCCCGTGTTGGATGATCTCGTTCACCGACCCGTGCCGCCCCTCTAAATGCGACCGTGCCGTCTCCCAGTCAATGTACGAAGCTGCGCCACGGGACCCTCACCCCGTTTGACTCTATGCCCGACCACTTGTGCATGACCACTTGCGCCTCATGGTTAAGGAGCGCAGCCTCCTGCTGCATGAAGAACTTTGGGCCCGGAAGGCGGCCCCTTGGGTTAGAGCCCCTCTGATGGAAGGAGTTGGTGCCGTGCTCCCGCAGGCGCAGCACCCGGAAGTTGTCCTTCTTGAAGACCTCGTTGCCGGTCAATGGGTCGGAGCGCACCGCTGGCTCGGGGACTGCCACGAGGTCCTCGCGCATCATTGAGGACCTGCACGAGCCATTATGACTGGTCACGAGGAGCTACCGTGGCAAGCTTGCAAACTTTCTGCCAAGCTCTAGGACAAGGTGCGGCTATCGTTACATACTTGCAAGATGATCGAGCCTGACGTGTGAACACTCATCAACAGCTACTACTGCTGGATTGAAATTGCTCCCGATTGTTCCATAGAGATGTACCCTTTTGCACCGTTTAGCTGGCAGCACGCCTGCCCCAGCGTGCCAGAACCAGAGTGTTTGACCTGGCTTGCCTGACGCAGCATTGTCGACCAAGCGTGTCCGCTCCAGACTGCTCAACCGAGCATGCCCGACCCAGCATGATTGACTCGCTAGACATTGAGCACTTTCAGCACACTTATCGTGCCCGTACGAGAACATTGAAGATGCAAACCGAGCCTGATAATCAGAGAGTCCGTCGGAGGATGAGCTGCGCCTGACTCCACCACAATGTAAGGAGGGGGGGGGAACTCACACAGGAGACGATAACGCTTCAGGCGCCCGCCTTCTCTGCATCTCCCTCCGCATGGGCGCCAGCGCCTCGTCCCTGTCCATAATCTCCTCCGCCGCGGCCTGAGCCGCCACTTCCTCCATCTCCTTCTGCCGGTACAGGTCCCGTCGCTCAGGGTCCGGCTGCGATGAGTCGTCGATGCCCCGAAGATCTTCAGACGTGGCCTCCTCCTCCGACTCGGCCTCTTCTGATGTCTCTTCGATGTCGACAGAGGCGACTTCTTGGTCGGACGCCTCCTGCAAGGAGCGCCAACACGCTATGCTTGCTGCTCATAGGCGTTCAGAAAAGCTGGCATTAGGGATCTGCAGGAACTCGCAAAGACTGGCGAGTCCAGCGCCTGGCAATGAAGACGGAGCCCAAGTTTCAACAGCCTTTCAGTGCAAAGACCAGCCCTGGCATGCCCCTCACCCTCTCCGCAAATACGCACACTGCAGCACACGGTTGCTCACCGCTCCGTCCGGGCTTCCGACCCGTATCCTGGCATTGCTTGGCCCCGGGAAGCCCTCTCTGCTTGGGGCGGTCCTCTTCCGACGTGAAATTTCCTGCATCCAAGCATCAGGACTTGCTCAACTCAGGGCACGTTCAATTCCGGGCAGGCGTCACGCGGACTTAAGGGAATGCTTTGGTGCTCAAAAGGGCACATAATAATGTGCTTTGACACCAAGTTCACTGGCCGGTTCGCTCTTTCTCGCCCCCTCACCGCCAAAGAGTGCGCGATTTTGAAGGCTGTGCACGACTACCGCCCACAGAATGGCCTTGAGCTACCCTCTGCGGCATCGGGTCAAGAACGGCCGGTCACAATCAAGCGGAAGGGGTTCGAGCTCGACTACTGTGGAGAGGGATTCCACATCAAGAAAATATTCCCCTCCTTCGACTGCCACTGGATTGTCTCCCACGACAAGGGCGCTCTTGTTTGGGACGAGAGAGAGAGGTTCTGCAACTATGTGAGCTGGCTCGAGTACCTCATCTCCCACTTTTTTGCAGTATAGGGGGTCCAGCTGAGCGGGGCCGTCAGATGGAAGGGAGCCAACCGGGAAACAAGGGCTCGATCACGGTGGAGGGCAGCAAGATCAAGGTCGACATGCCCCTGGCGAAGGCGGGCTCACCGCAGGCTCTGGCTCCATAGCGGCCGGACGGGGAGCCCCAGCAGGATGCAGGGCGTTGGAGGGGGGGGCCGGGTCACGTGGCGGTTCTGCAGCAGCCGGACGGGGAATGCTGGCAGGGTGTGGGGCGCTGAAGGAGGGGCCGGGGTCCAGCGCCGGCTCCGCAGCAGCGTTGGCAGAGTGCGGGGCGCTGGAGGAGGGGCCGGGCTCCTGCAGAACAGTGCGAAGGTGATGAGCAACTTAGGGGCAACTTAGCGTGCAGGAAGGAGGCAACTTCGATGCAGGGCGAGCTGTCGTGGCGCATTTGCCTCGCGGCGATCGACGATTGCAGGATTGCAGAACGCTCACCTCCCTGGTGGCGCTCCGTGCGAAGTGCGGTTGAGTTGCTTCTACCGTGGAGTGGGGCGTCGCCTCTGCCATCCGATCCCAATTCGATCGCTATTGAAAAGAGAAAGGAGTGCACTCGTGAGGATTGGAGGCAACCCGGTGGTAGGTAGGCTAGCTGCAGACGGACGACTCGATGCATGGACGTGCTTGCTGACACACCGGGTCCCGCGCACATCAGACAGCCTCTGAGGGAGACTCACGTTTGCCCGCCATGCATCAAAGTACTCGGTGCCGACCGGCTTCGGTTTGGCGTTCTCTTCGACCTCCTGCATGGCATGATGACCCGGTCAACACACATCATGGACAGGTGGATCATGCGGTCAGCACATCGATGCTCTTTCGTTGCCGCAACTCACGGCGACTCGACTCTCGTCGACACTGAGCGACAAAGGAGGCGAATTTCTCCCACCTTTGCGGTCGGAAGAAGGATCAGCGGTCGCCCTGACGGTCCTGGATTGCTCTCCACGGCCCCGATCTGGAGCAATACCTCTGCAGATAAGACGAGAGAATCTCTTGATGGGGGGTCCGCATCGATTCGAAGAAGTGCAGCAAGATTCGCGAACAGAGTCCACCGAGAACTCATGCAAAGACTCTGGCAGGCCGATTCCTGAGGAGGCCACTCGGAGTCCTAGTATCGACGTACCTATCAGCGCCCTGCACTTTGGTGCTGATGAGCAGAAGACCCCCCGCGCTGGTTTGAAATCTGCGCAGGAAAGAAGAAGGGGATCCAGACATCAAGCTGACCGAATGATTCGGCTTTGGCGGGCCAAGTCGAGAAGAGAACCGGCTCAGGTCCTATGCCCCAACGAGCCCTGATTGCTCTCAACGAGGAGCATTGAATCTCGGTGCCCGACGCGCACGCGGCATGCAGGATAAGTACGGCCGTACCCCGCAACCCTTCAGGGTGTACCACAAACGGACCACTTAGATTCTAAGCAGAAACACACTCTTTTGTGGTACACCCCCAACATGGTGGGATGCTATGTGGGGCGACCCACCCATACCTGGCAGTATGCAGCTGTACCTTAAAGAAACCCTAAAGACAGTTACACTCTTTTGTGGTACATGCATCATGGGTGGATGGGCCGGGTTGCTATGTGGGGCAACCCACCCATGCCTTGCGATTCCCCAACCAATACCAAACCCGAGACAAAACGTGCAAACCCTGAAGCCCAAGGCCCAAAACCTATTTGGCCCACCGCTCAAAGACGAGCCAGCTTATGCTCAACACTGGTAAAGCCGAGGCTGTTTGCGGCCCAAAACAACGTTGACTGCGAACCCCGGGAACATTCGGAGACGCGCATGACGGCTGGATTATTGGATGGGGCCTCCCTGTTTCTCAGAGTTGCGTACCACCACACCATCCATCTTGGGTGGTGGATGGCCGGGCTTGCTCATGGGGGAATCCAGCCATACCATGCAGTTTCGAGGTGTGTACCACAAAAGACCCACTTTATCTTATAAAAGAAATACACCTCTTTGTGGTACACCCTCCATCTTGGGTGGATGGCCGGGCTTGCTTGATGGAGGAACCATACCATGCAGTTTCGAGGTGTATCACAAAAGACCCACTTTCTGTTTAAAAGAAACACACCTCCTGGTGGTACGCCATCCATCTTTGGTGGGGCCGGGCTTGCTTGATGGGGAATCCGGCCATGCCTGGCAGTATGCAGGTGTACTAGAAAAGAACCGTTTAGTTTTATAAAAAACGACACCATTTTATGGTACAAGCTGATCGTATCCCCAGACCAGCCAAGATTCTGCCCAGGAAGTGGCGCAATTGCGGCCCCCAAAAGAGGCTGCCCACACCCCTCGAGATAGCCTGAGGGGTGCCCAAATATCTGCCTAATCGCAAATCCCAAAGCAGGTTGATACCAATACAGAGAACAGGCTGATTGCGGCCTCAAAACCCAGCCTGACGACGGCCCAGAGTCTCAACCAACGCGGCCAAAGCACTCATTGTCATTAATCTGGTCGAGATGAAGCACCAGAAATAGAAGACATTGCGGCTTGTGGGGGCGACCATCCCACCAAGTTTCTAAAGATGTTGTGATTGATGGCGCTGTACCAGAAAGTGGCCTCTTAGTACTTAGAAAGAAAGACATTGGAACGTGGTACACCACTGCTTGTGGGGCACCCAACCATTCCACCAAGTTTCCAAAGATATTATAGTTGACGGTGCTGTACCAGAAAGTGGCCTCTTACTTCTTAGAAAGAGAGACATTGGACTGTGGTACACCACTGCTTGTGGGGACAACCATTCTGCCCAGTTTCTGAAGATGTTATAGTTGATGGCGATGTACCAGAAAGTGGCCTCTCAGTTCTTAGAAAGAAAGACATTGAAACGTGGTACACCACCGAGCTGCCCTTCACTCACCGCGATATGCACCACACTTCACGGCATCTTTCAGTACTTTAGCATCATGCCGCTTCGCCGTCTGCTCAGCAGCAGTGAAGCTCTGGCGTCGCGGTACCTCACCAGTAGGCTTCTCAGTCTTTTCCTTCTTCTTGAATCGACGCCCCCGTCGACGTCGAGGGGCAGGCTCGGTATGGCACCGAGCATTGACAGCAGCGATGAGAACTGCTTGCTTCTCGGCACTTATATAGATCCTCTCTCTGTAGTCTGCGGCACGCGCAAAGCGGATTGCCTGGCAGTCGCGATGGTCAGACTTGCTCCGGCCACAAGGCCGCCCTCTCGCCATGATGAGTCACGATGGGTACCAGCTTGCGTGCACCTGCAGGACCGAAAGATAAGCTCTAAGGACTTCTGGTTAAGAAGGATCTTTCCTGACACAGAAACGACGTTGTGTTTGGCATGTCCTAAGTCGTCCACAGCGCACCAAGAAACAGAGGAAAAGCTGGCAGCCCTATGGATCGATACAACTGTATCTTGCACTATGGCAAGAAATGTGTCATGATC